GTATCCCTATGTTTATTGAACCATTATTTACAATAGCCAAGATATGGAAGCAACAGAAGTGCCCACTGTTATATAAATGGATAAAGAAGATGTAGTATATATATACCACGGACTATTACTCAGCCATAAAAAGAATGAAATCTTGTCATTTGGGACAACATGGACAGACCTACAGGGTATTATGCTAAGTGAAATGAGGCAGAGAAAGATTAGTACCATATGATTTCACTTATATGTGTGTCCTAAAAAAACAAAACAAATGAACAAAACAGAAATAGACTCAAAGAGAACAGACTGGAGATTGCCATAGGGGAAGTGGGTGGGGGATGGGCGAGATAGGTGAAGGGAAAAAAAGAGAGACACTCAATTACAAAATAAATCACAGGGATTAAAGGTACAGCATAGGTAATATAGACAATAATTGTAATATCTTTGTACAGTGACAGTTGGTAACTACACTTACCAGTAAGCATTTCATCATGTGTATAATTGTGGAACCTGAAACCAACTGTATTGTGCACCTGAAACCAATATAATGGTATATAACAACTATACTTCAACAAAAATATAATCTATACATCTTTCCCTCTCCATCTCTTTCCTTATTTCCCTCCCTCCCTTCCTCTCTCTCTCCCTCTGATCCCCCACCCCCATCTCTCTCCATACACATATACACACATATACCCCATATCCTGTTGTTTCTGTTTCTCTGGAAAACTCTGGCTAATATAACTCGCACACCATCAACTCATCCCTCAAAAAATGATCCCAACACCAACAATATATAATCACTTTATCCTTCCTTTTTTACCTTATTTTTTGACAAAGTAATACCTCAATAAATTAATCCTATAAAAACAGCAACTTCCTTAATCATATACTTAGCAGGGTCTATAAGGAATGGAACATCTTTTAAAAACTGCAAACCAAACTTAACATCGTTTTGTGGGGCTTCCACAAGTCTACATGCATCTGAATTATGGAAGGCTAACAATCAGGAAAAGTGAAGTCAATGAAGTTTCACTTTACCATCAAAGCCTAGCCTCTTCTCTGTGGTTTCCATTTTCTTTCAACAACCTTATCAACATATCAGTTCCCCAAATCTTATGCTGATTTCAATATGGTGTTGAATGCCTCTAATAAGTTTATTATTTCACATTTTTTTCTTTTCAACTCCAAACTTTCCATTTGCTTTTTCTATAATGTCTGTCTCATTATTGAGATTTTCTTTTTGTTGAGTCATTGTTATCATACTTTCCTTTAACTCTAGGAACATGGTTCATTCAGTTCTTAGAACATTTTTACAATAGCTGTTTTAAAATCCTTCTCTGTAAAATTTAACATCTGAAGACAATCAGCAACAATATCTATTGCCTGCCTTTATTTCACAATATGCTACACTTTCTTGATATGTTTCATAACATTATGTTGAAAACTAGACATTAAAATTATATAAATATAATATATAACATCTCTGGAAATATGTCTTCTTCTATAATGTGCAGTTTCTACTATCACTATTCAGTTTTACTTTTCTTTAACTCTTGTTCTTATTTTAAAGCCTGGTCTTCAGGGGAGCTTCACCTGTGTCTATGTAACTTAGTAGTTAGTCAATGATTTAAAAGAGAATTTGTTCAAATACTCAATAAACGTTGTCAACTTTTACTCAAACTCAATAAAGATCATCATCCTTTACAAAAGGATCTATGTGTAGACAAGGGAGCAGATTTAATACTCAAAACATATCCAAGTCTCCCCAGATTTTAGTTTCCCTGAACCCTTTCGTGGCTCCTCTGTACCAACATGAAGCCCCACCTAACCAGGACTTTATGCTAAGAGCCACTGACCCTCTCAACTCTTATGCCCCCAAGACTGTAACTTCCATGGACAGTGCTGCTCGGCATGGCAAAACCTGCCACTCCAGGTTGAATGGGCACCTTCCGAATTGTGTTTTCATGCTTTTCTTTCCTTATTCCATATTTGACACAGTGATGAGTACAGAGTACATTTTTGCTTACTTCTACCCAGAAATTACACTGGAAGAAATTTGCCTTATAACCCATGTGGTCAAACCGTATTCCTAGAAAGCAACAATTAAGACTCCAAGATCTAATCATGTTATACTATTTTCACATTTCTCCTTCTCTCCACTGCACCCATGCTATAAAGTGCACACTATGAGCTGACAGCATGTGTTAAAGACTGTTGAATGCCAGACTAATATCCATTTTGATTATCTTCTTTGCTAACAAACCATGATCATTCCCTAGCTTTCCTTGTAATTATAAGTTAAGTTGAGAAGATGCACTAATTGAAAAGAAAATGACTATCTTGAGATCATTAGGGAAAGAGGTCACATTCTAAAGATGTCAAAGCTAGGAAGAACCTAGGTCACTAATGATATCATAGAAACATTTCACTAGCCATGTACTGCCTACCCACAGACTTTTAATTACATGGTTTGTGTAGGCCACTGTAACTACCAGAAGCTGAACTTAATTCCTAAATGGAATGATACAGTGAAAAGAATGCCACAAACCTGATAATTAGATCACTATAAGCCATTGAGAAGAATATTATTCTCATTTAATATATGTAGAAAGTGGATAAAAATCTGACTTTATGAGTAATAACAAATAATCAATTGAGTCCACAGCCCTCTCACTGTCACACAAAAAATGCGTAGCATTAAAAGCATGCCTGCTGGGTTTGAGTCCACAGCTCCACTCCACTTCAGTTTTTCTAAGCTATAAAACAGGATTAAGAATGGTATCTATCTTCTCATAGTACTGCAATAAGGAGTAAGAGAAAATTCATGCAATGCCTTCAGAACAGTGCCAAGCACATGCTACAGCAACAATGTTAGTGATAGCTCATGATGACAACTAGTAAGTTGTGATAGGCCATCATAAAAGTGACTATATTAAAAACACATAAAGTAAAAGACACTTTTCTTAATGATGTTAATTTTCAATTTCAAGACTGAATTTTGATCTATTGTTGGTTTTCTTTTGTCTCTTGCTATCACCCTGCAGATAAGCAAACAGTGAGCAGAGAAATACTGAGATGTAAGTAACAGGAAACCCTAAGATGTTTTCTCTTCTTTCCCTTTTCTCTTGTAAGAGCATAGCCTTATATTGACACAGATTTTAAGACATCAAAGTTCCCCCTCTGGAATTATGTTTCATAACATTATGTTGAAAACTAGACATTAAAATTATATAAATATAATATATAACATCTCTGGAAATATGTCTTCTTCTATAATGTGCAGTTTCTACTATCACTATTCAGTTTTACTTTTCTTTAACTCTTGTTCTTATTTTAAAGCCTGGTCTTCAGGGGAGCTTCACCTGTGTCTATGTAACTTAGTAGTTAGTCAATGATTTAAAAGAGAATTTGTTCAAATACTCAATAAACGTTGTCAACTTTTACTCAAACTCAATAAAGATCATCATCCTTTACAAAAGGATCTATGTGTAGACAAGGGAGCAGATTTAATACTCAAAACATATCCAAGTCTCCCCAGATTTTAGTTTCCCTGAACCCTTTCGTGGCTCCTCTGTACCAACATGAAGCCCCACCTAACCAGGACTTTATGCTAAGAGCCACTGACCCTCTCAACTCTTATGCCCCCAAGACTGTAACTTCCATGGACAGTGCTGCTCGGCATGGCAAAACCTGCCACTCCAGGTTGAATGGGCACCTTCCGAATTGTGTTTTCATGCTTTTCTTTCCTTATTCCATATTTGACACAGTGATGAGTACAGAGTACATTTTTGCTTACTTCTACCCAGAAATTACACTGGAAGAAATTTGCCTTATAACCCATGTGGTCAAACCGTATTCCTAGAAAGCAACAATTAAGACTCCAAGATCTAATCATGTTATACTATTTTCACATTTCTCCTTCTCTCCACTGCACCCATGCTATAAAGTGCACACTATGAGCTGACAGCATGTGTTAAAGACTGTTGAATGCCAGACTAATATCCATTTTGATTATCTTCTTTGCTAACAAACCATGATCATTCCCTAGCTTTCCTTGTAATTATAAGTTAAGTTGAGAAGATGCACTAATTGAAAAGAAAATGACTATCTTGAGATCATTAGGGAAAGAGGTCACATTCTAAAGATGTCAAAGCTAGGAAGAACCTAGGTCACTAATGATATCATAGAAACATTTCACTAGCCATGTACTGCCTACCCACAGACTTTTAATTACATGGTTTGTGTAGGCCACTGTAACTACCAGAAGCTGAACTTAATTCCTAAATGGAATGATACAGTGAAAAGAATGCCACAAACCTGATAATTAGATCACTATAAGCCATTGAGAAGAATATTATTCTCATTTAATATATGTAGAAAGTGGATAAAAATCTGACTTTATGAGTAATAACAAATAATCAATTGAGTCCACAGCCCTCTCACTGTCACACAAAAAATGCGTAGCATTAAAAGCATGCCTGCTGGGTTTGAGTCCACAGCTCCACTCCACTTCAGTTTTTCTAAGCTATAAAACAGGATTAAGAATGGTATCTATCTTCTCATAGTACTGCAATAAGGAGTAAGAGAAAATTCATGCAATGCCTTCAGAACAGTGCCAAGCACATGCTACAGCAACAATGTTAGTGATAGCTCATGATGACAACTAGTAACTTGTGATAGGCCATCATAAAAGTGACTATATTAAAAACACATAAAGTAAAAGACACTTTTCTTAATGATGTTAATTTTCAATTTCAAGACTGAATTTTGATCTATTGTTGGTTTTCTTTTGTCTCTTGCTATCACCCTGCAGATAAGCAAACAGTGAGCAGAGAAATACTGAGATGTAAGTAACAGGAAACCCTAAGATGTTTTCTCTTCTTTCCCTTTTCTCTTGTAAGAGCATAGCCTTATATTGACACAGATTTTAAGACATCAAAGTTCCCCCTCTGGAATAACAATATAAAGTTTTAATTAACAGTGGTTCAAAATTTTTTATATTTCCTTACCCAGAAGATCCAGTGCTCTTACAAACACCAAGGAGGGGCCTTTTTTCAGCAAAGTTGTCACACTTTTGAGCACCTGATGTGGAACAAAAAATTAAGTGTGAAACAAAATTTTGAGAAGTATTTTATATATTTCCCATTATTTTCACATTCTCAAATTTTATACCTGAAGAGATAGCAAACATTCATTATAAATTAACATAATTTATACTCTTAAAAAATAGGAAAGTTATAAATAAACCTACAACTATTTTTAAAAGTAAACCACCATTCAAAATCTTTTCTTTTTTAATTGGCACTGAATCCAATCTTTTTTGTGGGGGGAGACCCACAAATGTATTTATTTTCTTTGTAATCTCTACACATACTTTGTGCCTGATTGACTCACAAAATCAGCCCACCAAGAGGACTACCCATCTGGACGGAAAAGCTAAAATTCTTTTCTGGTGTTGAGAAGTCCTTTTATATTATATTATGTCTCCCTCCAGCCATATTTCTGCCAGTAACCAGGAACTATTTCTCCCTGCCACCTCTTTTTTTTAATGAAGTAGAGTTGATATACAATCCTATATTGGTTTCCAGTATACACCACAATGATTCAACAGTTACCTAAATTATTAAATCCTCACTCCAACCACTGCAGTTACTATCTGTCAGCACAGGAAGATGTTACAGAATTATTGGCTATATTCTCCATGCTGTGCTAACATTCCTGTGACCAGATTACATTATGATTGACAACTGTTATGCCCCTTTATCACCAACCACCCACTCCAACTGCTCTGCAACGACAACCACTAGTCACTTCTCAGTGTCTGAGTCTACTGCTATTTTGTTCATTTTGTTTTATTTTGTTTTTCGATTCCACAACAAGTGAAATCATATGGTATTTGTTTTTCTCTGCCTGGCTAATTTCACTGAGTATAATATCCTCCAGGTCCATCCATGTTGTTGCAAATGGCAGGATTTTTCTCTTTTTTGTAGCTGAATAATCCATTGTGTGTATGTACCACTTCTTTATTCCTCTACTGATGGACACTTTAGTTGCTTCCGTAGCTTGGCTAAATATCTTGGCTATTGTAGATAATGCGGCAATACACATAGGGGTAAATATATCTTTCAAATCAGGAATAGTTTTTCAGTGGAGTCTTTAGGGTTTTATATATATATATATATCATGTCATCTGCAAATAGTGACATTTTAATTTCTTCCTTACCAATCTGGATGCCTTTTATCCCTTGAATTTGTTTGATGCCATGGCAAGGACCTCCAGGACTATGTTAAATAGAAATGGGGAGGGAGAGTGGGCATCCTTGTCTTGTTCCTGATCTTAGAGGAAAAGCTTTCAGCTTTTCAATATTTACTATGATGTTATCTGTAGGTTTGTCATATAGGGCCTTTATTATGTGAGGTATATACCCCCATACCCATTTTGTTCAGAGCTTTTATCAATAATGGATGTTGAATCCTGTCAAATGATTTTTCTGCATCTATTGAGATGCTCATGTAATTTTTACCTTTTTTTTGTTAATGTGGTGTATGATGTTAACTGATTTAAAAACATTGTACAATCCTTGCATCACTGGGATAAATCCCCCTTGCTCATGATGGATAATCCTTTTGATGTATCTTTAAACTCAGTCTGCCAACACTTTGTTGAGGATTTTTGCATCCATGTTCATCAGGGATATTGGTCTAAAATTTACTTTTTTGGTAGTATCTTTCTTTGGTTTTGGTATTAGAGTAATGGTGGCCTCACAGAATGAGTTGGTAAATATACCCTCCTCTTCTATTTTCTGGAATACATTAAAAAGGATGGGTATTAGCTCTTCTTTAAATGTTTGGTAGAATTCATCTGTGAAGCCATCTAGTCTTAGACTATTGTTTGTTAGGCATCTTTTGAGTACCAATTCAATTTTGTTACTGGCAAATGATCGGTTCACATTTTCTGCTTCTTTCTGGGTCAGTCTTGGAAGGTTGTACTTTTCTAGGACTTTGTCCATTTCTTCTAGATTGTCCAATTTATTGACATGTTATTTTTCATAGAATTTTCTAATAATTATTTGTATTTCTGTGGTGTCAGCTGTAACTATTCCTTTTTTAGTTTCTGATTTTATTTATTGGTGTCCTCTCATTTTTCCTTTGTAAATCTGACTAGGGGTTTGTCTACTTTGTTTATTTTCTCAAGGAAAGAGCTCTTGTTTTAATTTTTTTCTATTCTTTTATTCTTCCCTATTTTACCTATTTCTCCTCTAATCTTTATAATGGCTCTCCTTCTACTAAATTTGGGTTTCATTTTTTCTTCTTTTTCTAGTTTCTTTAATTGTAAGTTTATACTACTTGGGATTGTTCTTCTTTCTTGAAGTAAGCCTGTAGTGCTCTGTACTTCCCTCTCAGAATCTCTTTTGCAGTGTCCCACATATTTTGAACTGTCTGTCTTTGTTTTTATTTGTCTCCCTGTTTTGCTTGATTTCTTCCCAACCTCACTCTTATACACATTCTCCATGAGATCACAAAACCACCCATAATTCCACGAACTAATTACCTAAGACTAGTATAATCTTGATGTCAAAACTAAATAAAGGTAGTCAGGACAGAAAAACTTATAAGCCATTCTCAATATACGTAAATGAAAAATCCTAAAACACTAGAAACTCAATAGTGAATTATTAGAAATTTTAGCTATATTGACATACATTGGGCTCTACCTAAGAGTTTCTCAAAAAATCCAAAATTTTGTGAAATTATCTGTATCAATCAAAATTATAATACTCCTTGATAGAGAAATATCACTGCTAAGATTTCATCCTATGCGTACACTCAGTTATGAAGAAATTAACTTGTGTGCACTATTGTTCACTATTGCATTGTTTTGTAATAGCAAATGACTAATAAAATTCCAGTATTTAATGGAGTATTTCCTATAGCTGTAAAAGAATGAAGACAACATATAAATAAGATCCAACATATAAAATGAAAAAAGCAATACAAGAACAGAAAGATACAGGATGATATCCCATCTTTTGTGCAATAAGAAGACTCATTTGCATATATATACTATGTGTGTGTACATATATATACATATATAAACATACACACATACACACAAACTCTGCAAAGATATATAATAAATATTAATTAACAGTTACCCATCAGAAGGAGAACAGAAAAAGAAGAAGGTAGGGAACAAAAATGGGAGGAAAGTTTTCACTGGGTATATTTTTTATACTTTTCAGTTTTCAAACCATGTGAATATATTAATTCCCCCCAAAATTTGGTTTGTTTTTAAATAGGCAGCAAAGGCCAGAAGAAACAAGTAAGTGGTTGTTACAACTTCTGAAATAAGCTGGTAGACTGAAGACATGCTTTTCATTTTACCTTCTTTGAAAATACAAGTGAAAGCACATTAAAACAAATAGGGTTAAATAAATACATATAGTAACACCAACAAATTTGGTAAATAGATGAGTGATGACTAACTTAGCAACCCAAAGGAAAAGTTCAAATAGTGGTAGGGAGAAACCAAACTTAAGATTGAAATTACTTGACACCTGATTAAAGTTCACCTGAGATTAAAGTTCACCGGAGATTAAAGTTAGGAGCCTGTGAGATTTTTCTGGAGAATTTAACAAGTCATTCCATGAAGAAAGACTAAAAGACACTGTCAATTAGAAGGCTCCCACAAACAACACAACCAAAGCACCAAAATGAAGTTGACAAACACACCGACCTTTAAATCAGTTTTTTAGTTTGTCACTTAAAAATATCTGCAGACAACCCTTCTGGGTATTTCACCAAAGGAAAAAAAAATACAGTAATTCAAAAAGATATAAGCAACCTTATATATACAGCACTATTTACAATATCCAAGATACAGAAGCAATCGATATCCATCAACAGATGAATGGATAAAGATGATATAGTACATATATAATATGGAGTATTATTTGACCATGAAAAAAGAATGAAATCTTGCCATTTGCAACCATGGATGGATATTATGCTGAGTGAAATAAGTCAGAGAAAAACAAATATCTTATGATTCCACTTATATGTGGAATCTAAAAAACAAAACAAAATAAAACAAATGAAAAAATGCAGAAAGGGTCTCATAAATACAGACAAAAAATGGGTGAGTGCCAGAGATGATGTGTCAGAAGCAAAGCCTAAACAGGAGGAGGGGATCAAGAGGTACAAACTTCCAATTATAAAGTAAGTAACTCACAGGGATGAAAAGTGAAGCACAGGGAACACAGTCAATAATTGGTAATAACTCTGTATGGTAACAGTTGGCAACTACACATAGTGTGGTGAACATTTCATAATCGTATATAAATGTTGAATCACTATTTGGTATACCAGAAACTAATATTATGTCAACTATACTCAATTAAAAATATGTTCCTATGGATACATTCAAGATGGTAGCATGAGAGGTGAGACAGAGAACTCTTCCCAAAACCACATATACTAGGAAAACATAGTTAATACAACTAATCCTAAAAGAGCAACAGGAAAGAAGGCTGCACCAGACTGCATACACCTGGACAACAGAGCAGACCTCACAAAACAGGGTAACGTACCAAAGCCTTGAACCAGTAGGACCCAAGCCCTTCCCCCACCTCAGCTCACCAGAGAGGAAGAGAAACAGAGCGGGACGGAGGTGGAAGCCTAGGACTACTGAACACCCAGCCCTGGAAATCTACTTTGGAGCACAAATCTACATTGCATGGTGATCTAGAGATTAGTGGGGTTGGAAAGCTGAGACAGGCGGAATACTTGAAAGACTGAGATTCCAGCTATTTATGGAGAACGGGGATCCACATCCAGCCACTCTGGGACTTGCTAGCAGTGAGACGGCTGCTGAAGGGGTAGGGTTTGCACAGAGCTTGCTAAGCAGGAAAAGGGATAGGTTGTTTCGGCACACTCTGCCCAGCAGGTTGGGAATTTTCAGTTCAGGCGCTCCATCCTCCTTGCTGGCTACTCAGTTCCAAGGTCACCCACTGTGATAGATAGTCTGCTATGCCTTCCTCCTGGCCTGCCGACACCGGCTTGCAAACCGGTAGTCATTGCAC